TGCTCTCTGTCTCTCATTCTCTCTGTCTCAAATAAATAAATAAAATCTTTAAAAAAATAAAATAAAATAAAATAAAATAAATAAGCATGGGTATATACAGCCAAGGGCAAGATGGGAAACGGTACTGAGATCATAAGCTGACCACACCACTGAAACACTCACTCACCATCAAGGGAGGCAAGCTACCCCAGTCACAGAAGCAGTGAAAATTAACAAATGTTCACCTTCATGATCCTAGGGTGTTTCTGGGGCTGTGAACATTCAGGGAATAGTACATCCAACTGCCATAGCATAAGGGCTCATTGAGAGTAAGGAGCATGATGAGTGAATACCTTAAAAATGCTAATCACTCCCAAAAAGTGACTTCCCAAGCAGCTGTGGTGGGCCCAGAGAAGTCACTGGGCTTTCCCGTAACTAGTAAAGTGACAGGTGGAACTCACTTTAGGCATCTGGCCCTGTTGTTTCCAAGTACCATCAGCAGCCTCCTATTCTCGTGGCCACGCTGCAGAGAGTTGCTGGGGTATTAAATGAGACCAGTTGAGAAAATGTTTGTAAAGTGCCTTGTACTTGGTAAGACTCACTGGACATACATTTTGCTGTATTTTAGTTAGGTTTCCCCATGATTCCTATCTAATGATAGGAAAGGAAAATAGGGCACCTGGGTGGCTCAGTTGGTTGAGTGACTGCCTTCGGCTCAGGTCATGATCCTGGAGTCCCGGGATCGAGTCCCACATCAGGCTCCCTGCTCGGCGGGGAGTCTGCTTCTCCCCCTCCTCATGTGCTCTCTCTCTCTCTCATTCCCTCTCTCAAATAAATAAAATCTTTAAAAAAAAAAAAAAAAAAGGAAAGGAAAATAATTCAGAATAAAAACTGGGTGGTCAGAAGTTAGTGGAGCAAAGAGTTATCCTATACCTACAGTTTTCAAACTTTGTTTTCAGTAAAATAACAAAAAATTTCAGAGCACTTGCATATACCTGTGTGACATAAACAGTGTTGGGTCGATGGGGTAGATTCCAGATAAAGAAGCTGAGACTCAGGTTAAGTGTCTCACTAAAGTCATTGGGGGCAGAGCAGAGGCCAGAATGCGAATACTGCCTAAGCGCCAGACTCAGAAGGAACAGACTGTGCTGTTCATTCTTAGACTGACCCCAAACAGGCCACTAAATTCAGTTTCTTCATATTTGCAGCATAAGAAGAGTGGTAATCCTTCTCTGAATTACAGTGTTTTCATTGGGAATTGAAATAACTTTCTAATTTCAGACTCCCCCATCCTCACCCCATTCCTTAGGGCCAGCTCCTAGAGTAGTTTCCTTCTGGCTCCCCATTGATCCTTTCACACCATCTCTCCCACTTGGTCCTACAAAGAACTTACTCTTTTTTTTTTAATTTTAGAGCACAAGAGCGTGCACGCACAGGTGGGGGGAGGGACAGAGAGAGAATCTCAAGCAGACTCCTCACTGAGCACAGAGCCCTGAGATCATGACCTGAGCTGAAACCAAGAGTCAGACACTCAACTGACTGAGCCACTCAGACACCCCATAACTTACTCTTTTGTAGATCACACCATTCAGCTCTCACACTCTCCCTGCCTGAGCTGTATCATCTCCTGGCCACCTAGTTACCTTCTCTCTCCTGCTCATCAGTGACTTAGCTCCTAGCTCACAGTTTTTCTTTCCATCTCTTCTGTCACCATGTTTTGGTGGCTTCACCATCTGGTGGGTGATCTGTCCTTGTGGACTGTCTTCTCTGTGCATTCTCTCCCTCTAGCTAATCTTTTATGTGCCTGAGGCCTCTCTGTTCCTTACACTACCCTTCTCCAGCAACTTTTTCTTTTTCTTCATCTCAGTTCCTCCCCCCAAACTCTAGACTTTTCTATCTCTAGAAACTTCACCACAGTATTCCCCTCTGCTACTACTGTCTCTTATGTTTCCAGTCCTCTTGGTCTCCTGCTCACTTAGCTGTCCTTCACCTTACTGTTCTCTCACTCTCTACCAGCCTCCACTTGCTTCCACTGCCCTCTTTATCCAGCTTAGATTCCAGAATCCACGATACTCCTATGCTTAAAAACACTTCTTGCTGCTTTGCCCATCTCCCTCATTGCTGTCCCCTGGCGAGTCCCTGACCCCAGTCAAATTCAGCTGACCTCTCTGGGCCTACACCCTAATTGCCGAACGTTGCTGGAGAAGATCACACCACCATATAGCTGCCGTTCCTACAGTCTTGCTCACCACCATCAAGCAACTGTACTTCCTTTGTAAGCGTCCTTTCCCAGTTTCCAAATACTCTATTTTATACCTTCTTTCTCCTCATATCTCCACACACCACCCTTGTTCTCAGCTAGTGGTCTTACTTTATCCTTTATGGAGAAAACAGAAGTCATTAAATTCAAATTCCCTCATCTTCCTGTTGCAGAATTTACAATTCTTCCTGTCTCTCCAGCCCTGTTAGCCCTTTTGCCCCCATTACAATGAAGGAAATGTCCCTCTCCCTGTCAGAAGTCACTCCTTCCTCTTAAGTGCTAGAGTCCAAAGCTTGACTAATCAGGAGCTATGCAGCTTGGACTGTCCCTTCTCCTAATCATCTCTATCTCCAGTGAATCATCCTCATTAACATATGAAGAAACAGCTCTCATAGCTACTGTATTTAAAACAAACAAAAACCACTTCTCACCTCCTCCAACCACTATCCCACTCTCTCTGTTCTGCTTCCCCACACAATGTCTTAAAAGCTGCATGTGCCATCTCCATCCCTTCTGAGACATTCAGGGTATTCAAGAGTGCTGTTTTGATATAGTTAGAAACCAGACTGTGGAGATCTATGAAAGCAGAAGGGATAAGGATGTCTGCACATCCGGCCCAGGTCCCACATTTAATTCGTGTAGCGCTCAGAGAGAAGAGGAACAGCAGTGGAGGCACTGGGGTGAAGAAATAAGAAAGAAATGAGGTTCTGTTAGGATACATGTCAGCCACTAGTAGAAAATATGCACGTATATAAATTTTCTCTTCTTCATAAAGACTATGAGTTTCAGTATTACGCAGTCCTAGTTTCAGATCTCAGCTCTACCCTTTATTAGCTACCTGATCTTGAAAATATCACTTCATCTCCTGAGCTTAAAAGGAAAGTATCAGGCTCTCCTAGGAGTTTTGAACACTAAATGAAATCATGCAGTCTACAACACTTAGCTTACGCCTGGCACATAATTCTCAAATCACGATTGCTGTTAATGTTGTCGTTATTACTGCTATTACCGTTATTATTCCCGGAAGAACATAACAAGATCCTATGGTTGAGTCTTAAAGAGACCGTGAGCAAGTAGAGAAGAGCAGCATTTCAGAAAGCATTAGCAAAGCTTTAAATTCTGTTCTGAAGCTGGAAAAAGCCCAGAAGCATTCTGCTCTCACAAGCCACTGCAGGCCCCCCCTTGAAGGGTCAACATGGCACGTTGGAGGGAAGCATTCCAGATGCTTCAGCACCACAGGAATCTGGGAGGAAAGACATACAGGAGACCAGGCGAGCCGCGCACACCCACGGGGCCATCACAGCATTGGCTCTCCATTTCCACCTTTCCCACGCCGATTTTCGCCATTACCAAGTTTTGAATGTTGAAAATGATCTGTGTAAAGCAGCAATTTAATACTGGATGTAACCCAATTCAGCAATCGCTTTATTGAGTAATCTCTGAATAGGAAATACTGGCCTAGGTTCTGTGGAGGATGCGTGGATTAGCAGAACACGGCTTCTCCTCTCAAGGGAACTTTTATAATCATATTTCTTTTTCTAATACCCAGGTTTTGATCAGTATGCAGCTGATGTCTGGTGACCCGTGTTTTAAAACGTAAGTTGATGCTCAGTAAATGAATTATTTATCTGAAAGTATAATAGTGATTTTTTTTTGTCTAAATTTTTATATTCATAACTTGTAGTGTTTACGAGTGAAGGAACCGTTCTTTTCCCAGGAGACTGACCACATAGAAATTACTATTAACCCTTTGCCAAACGAGCTCCCCACACTCTAAAATTGTTTAAGCTGTAGATCTTTCATCATCTTCAAGTTTTGGGTGAAACTATACAATTAAATTTTTGAATTTGATCTCTGTGGACTTAGTCATTTCTTCAACAAATACCTGTTAAGTGCCTTACCATGTGCTAGGCCCTATTCTAGACACTAGAGAAACAGCAGCAGTAAAAAAAAAAAATAGACCAAGTCCCTGACCTCTCGGAGTGTATATTCTTAAGAGGAAAACAACAAGTAAGAAATTAATGTATAATATAAAGATGGCGATGAGTGCTTTGGAGAAAAATAATGCAGGGTAGGAGGGCATGGTAGGGAGAAAGTTTACTGTTCTATAGAGAGTAGTCAAGATGAAAGTCTGCCCTGGCAGAGGTGGTATTTGAGCAGAGACCTGAAGGAAGTGGGGAGTGCACCATGCAGGTATTTGGAGAAAGAGCATTTGAGGTAGAGGAAACAGGGACAAAGCCCTTCAGGGAGGAGTGTGTTTGGTATGTCCACGGGGCTGCCAGGAGACCGGTATGTCTAGACCAAACAGAATGAGGAGAGGGGGATAGGAAATGGGATCAGATGGTAAAGAGTCTCCTTGGGTGCCTGGGTGGCTCAGTTGGTTAGGCGACTGCCTTTGGCTCGGGTCATGATCCTGGAGTCCCGGGATTGAGTCCCGCATCGGGCTCCCTGCTCAGCAGGGAGTCTGCTTCTCCCTCTCCTGCTCCCCCCTCTTGTGC